AAAAACTTTTCTTTACCACTCCCGCATAATATCATAAATAACGAATTGTGTATGCAAATACCCTTTGGGTACTTCTGGACAACTTGAGTGGAGCTTTCTGCCACCTGGGACTTGTATTCCAGTAAAACCCATTCCTCCCAACCCTTACCTTCTGTCCTGTTCCTCCAGGGAGAGGGAGAGTCAGTAAACTTGGAGGATTTTGCTTACAACTCCTCTGCCATAGAGTATCTGGTGTTTCAAGTTACCATAGCAAGTACAGCTGGAGGAGTCATCCTGTTGCCCTCACTCAGTGTTGCCCTTATTTGATTCATTTATTTCTTTGTCGGCATTTTGAGCTCTCTGATTCTGAACAGAGTCAAAAGGTTAAACCATAATCTTCTCCAGTGAGATTCTGCAAATGCTTTTTCGTCTTAGAATCACAGGTCTCCATCGACTTAGTGAACCACTTCCAGCAGACTTTGCCTTGCTTCTGCTCATGACACTTCTCCTTTTGGTCTCAACAGATGTTTATTTTCCTAAAACTTGAGGACAGTGGATAAACTAAAAGTACCAGTGTGGAGGATGCTACAAGGAAAAGCTTAGCAAACTAAAAAACATTTGGGGTTTGTTCTAAATGAGGACATACTAGAACTGAGCCTTTTTTGAGGTATGCACCCTTGAGTAATTAATTAATCAAATCTTTGCTTCTGGCGTCAGGCGCCTTCGTCCTTTTAGGCTGAAGTGTGCTAGTGGTGTATGCACACCTAGACTGCAGTGTCTCCCTGCGTCCTCCTCCCTGCAGTGCTCAGAGATGGGGTTAGCACGTCAGTAAATGCAGTTGGGTGCAGTTCCTTGGCCCCTGCCTCATGGACATTATGTTTATGTTGTAATTCTCTCTGATAATGTTGCCTGATCTTTCTGGGGAAAGAGGTGATAGGAGCTAAATTGTCAACTTAATTTTCCTCTCTGTCCATGAGCGTAGGTCAAAGGCCTGGAATAAAACCTGTGGGACAAAGTTCAAGCCAAGCTGTTGTTTACGTGGTCATGCGTGCTTCTTGGGCATGGGCTGAGACAAGGCAGTGGGGTGTTAATGACTTAGGTTTAAAATTTCTTGTGCCCCCTTTGGAAGCCTTGCTTTAGTGGGATACTGTCGCATGCACTTATCCCAAGGGGGTACGTGGCTGAATCCAAGGCTGGAGAGCTTCTCTGTGGCTCATCTAGGAAGGCAGGCAACCTCTTGTGATCCTAAACACAGCAGTACTGGAAGGCTTGTTACAAAGCTTGGAGGAATTTAGGAGCAGAGTGTTGGAACACTGCTTTTGTCTGTTTTTGTTTCCTCCTCTTTCACTTTTAGGAGGAAAGCAGTAATTAATACAGCTGGATGTTAAATGCAGCATTTTCTGTTGGCTCCGACTTCTTTCTAGTATTCAGTTTCCAGACTTAGCACAGACAGACAGTAGTAGTCAAGTCTTTCAGTTAGTTTAGGATCCTTCTTAGGAGGAAAAATGTTCAGTGATGATCTGTGCTTAACTTAGCTCTTCTTATCTTGAAGATATATAACAGCCTAATATAGGAAAGTTAACTTAGTTTTAAAATGGAGTGCTTAATGTGCTGGTATTGGCAAAGAATCTGGAATCATGAACTCTGGGTAGCAACTTCATAAGCTTATAGCTGAAGAAGAAATAGCCTGTAAGTTCATTCACTCTCTAAGTGGTGTCCAAAATACACAGTTTCAGCAAGTTGCTGGGATGCATAGTCTCAGTTTTAAGTGTGTCCTTACTAGAATCATAGAATCATTAAGGTTGGAAGAGACCTCTAAGATCATTGAGTCCAACCGTCAACCCAACAACACCATGCCCACTAAACCATGTCCCTAAGCGCCTCATCTACCCGTCTTTTAAATACCTTCAGGGATGGTCACTCAACCACTTCCCTGGGCAGCCTGTTCCAATGTTTAACCACTCTTCCAGTAAAGACATTGTTCCTCATGTCCAATCTAAGCCTCCCCTGGCGCAACTTGAGGCCATTTCCTCTCGTCCTATCGCCATTTACTTGGGAGAAGAGACCGACACCCACCTCGCTACAACCTCCTTTCAGGTAGTTGTAGAGAGCGATGAGGTCTCCCCTCAGCCTCCTTTTCTCCAGGCTAAACAACCCCAG